TTCCATTGTGCCTATACTCTACTGTACTAGTCCTCTCTGATAAAATCACTTTCAAATTTCTAACTTATTCAGAGCATTTGTTTAATGGATTTTAATTATAATCTATTATGTTTTAACATAATAAGAATTTTCAATTTTTACAAGAAAACGTGAATAGTTTTATTGTAGTTTTTTTAATTGAAAGTAAATTGTTATATGCTTTGATTGAGGCAGTGTAAATAAATTAAAATACGAGCAAAATTGTTATAGCGAATTTTGTTTTGATGCTTGTGTTTGAATGTATTGTAGAACGTTATTTTATAGTAACTATAAATGTATTGTGTGCAGGTGCTTGGTGGAGTGAGATAAGGCAAGTTTTGTAAGATCATTTATCGTTTTCACAGCGACTATTGTAATTTAAACAAATAGTAAGGACTTATAAGTATCACAAACTTTGAATATTACATGAATCTTCCTATTTTACAAAAACAATTTTGTGTAGTTTTATTACTTATTTTTTTTTTATCGAAAACGAGTTGTTTTTAGGCACATATTCTGTTTTGCAGTTTTTTTATATTTAAATGTTTGACCTAATTTAATTCTTGCACGGTAGAAACTCGATGTTTCAATAATTATATATATATTATTTTTAAAGATTTGAATATTCGAATAGTTGTATATTAATATACATTTCAAATTTGATGGTAATTCCTACTTTTATCGATATCCAATAATGTAAAAATCTAAATTTAATTATTTTTGTCATATAATTGGGAGCTATGATATTTTAGCTTTGTATTTTCACGTTTTTTTGGTATTTTGGGTATTTTACTGTGATACTAGGTTTTACAATGCAAGAAAATAAATAGTTCCAAACATTTGAGTACACAAATAACATAACAAAATACTTTTAAAACCCAACTTATTTACGAAAAATAAATATAATATTTCTGTAATAGTAGTTTTTGTAATGTATAATGTTAAAATTTAATAATGAATGATACCTACAGTTGTTGCAATTAATTTATATTACAACATGAAAAACAACTCGTTTCCTATAAGATAATATAGAAAATTATATAAAACTATAGAAATAGTTGAAAATATATTGTATATTATAATGTAAGAAAATAAATCGTTAACATTTTGTGTAAACATAAGGTTGAAATAAAATGTATAACGCAAGTTGAATGCATATTATTTAATTTTAAATTTCAAATTATTAAAAGATCCGCTACAGTTTTTGGCGAATTTCTAACAAATGATAATTTTGATGATTTCTTTCTATATTTAATGTCATTACCTTAAAGGTACATAATCACAATATCAATATGTGAAAAAAGATGTGTTATTTAGATATTTATAAAATTATTAGGTATATTTTCCTATTAATATTTTGCAATCGACCATAACACTTCTCATCAACTTCTTGCCCAATTTTCTATATTATAGATACTATTATTATGTACCATTTATCTTTCTGCTTCTTAATACAATTAATAAACATTGATTATACTATCACTATGGAATAAGAATATTTCATTTTCTTCAATTTTATTACTGTTATTCTATAAATATTTTAAAATTTTGATTAACTATGTTTGAAAAAGCTTGTATTTCAATAATACTATATGTACGATGGGTACGATTAACTTACCCTATTGTTAATTATTATGTTATTGCATTTAATAAAATTACAAATACCAGATAAATACCTATATTATGTTTTATATTCTAATACATAATCCATATTATGTATTATACTTATATCCTCCTTATGATCAAGCCTTAATTGCTATTGAGCTTAACCCTAAGTAGATATACTCTATATAAGGGATGTTAAGTTTTACAGCGAAAAATTAAAACCCATTCGGCAGGCTGAGGTGTGCTTCAAAATTTCAGTCATGTGTGCATTGTCCAACAGGCTGCCTAATGCATGACTTACTCAAGTAAACCCTATAAAAAGTAATAAATTATGTTCTAAATCTGTTGTCCAAAATTAAAACAGCAGTGGTAAATTTTGGTAATGCGAACCAACCTCGTAACTTTAATTTTTTTTACATATTAAAATAATATAGATTACATTTTAAGTTTTGTTTATTTCCAATTCATTTGTACCTATAATAGACGAATAAATAAATTTGTGTAAATTCTAATGTAATATACAACATGTATTATTGTTGGTTAAAAATAATTGCAATAATAACAATATAATATTTTAGATGTAATATAAAACCGCTGTCAAAGCAATATCCCCGGAACGTAGTGGAGCCGGTTATAGTGGCGGACGTGAACTCGCCGTCCGACTTCTATGTACAGCTCCAAGCTAACAGCAATGTGTTGTCGATGATCAAAGAAGAGCTGGCAAACACCAAGCACATCAGCGTCAACATAGGCCACAACAATTGCCAAGTCTACTCGGTTTTGGCATCGAACCAACGCAACGGTATCAATGTAAGATTGTAAACGGGTACGAATAAAACTGACAGAAGTGGCGGACGGTTCACAGCGTTGATTATGGCTTTGTGGAAACGGTGAACCGAGACCGGATGCGAAAATATCCCTACCAGTTGAAAACAATACCACTTTGGCGTTCAATTGTGCTCCGGACGATTTAAAGCCCATAAATCAAACTCGGGTTTGGTCCGACGATGAAGCGAGCAATCTGTTTTGTAAGTTGAAGTTTGCCGGAAGTCCGGGACGTTTTACTTGTATCCCGCCGTGACCAGAGGAGAAGTCACGGAAGTCATGACCTGTACCCGTTGTTGATAAGAAGCGCGTTGTGCTTTTTCGGCCACGGCTCGTTTGGTGGTTCCTACCGAAACGAACAAGTGGAAAACGAGCTGAATCGACGGCGTTGCATCATTGTTACAATAAATTATTATAATTGATTTAAATTCAGACGTGTATAATATAAACATCTATGTATGCAATTTCTAGCGGTCGTCACTAAGCAACGGATAGATAAATACATTTTTTTTTCTTTATTAATATTTTCCGAGTTTGTTTTTACAATCGGTTCACGTGTATTTTACACTGTGTTTATTCACTTATTGTTTATCCTTTATATTGTATTGTACAATGCGTTTGGCTATGATCCCCACTTTCTGATTGCAGCACGGCTGTTTTATTATTTTTACCCTTCACTTTATATCGACTTTTAAGCTTTTATACTTTCTTTTTCAAACATAGTTAACCAAATTTTTAATTCATTTATATAATAACAGAAATAAAATTACATGAACGAAATATTCCTATTGGCTATCCTATAGTAATAGTATAATCTATGGTAATTGTTTATATAAGAAGCAGAAAAGATAAATGGTACATAGGTATTATTAGTATCTATAATTATATAGAAAATTGGGTGAGAAGTTGAAGAGAAGTGTTATGGCCGATTGCAAAATATTTATAATATCTTTTATATTTTTGAATAATATTTTGTAAAATTATTAAGAACATACATTTTTAGGCAATATAATAAATTGTTAAATTTCCGATGAGCTTGGGAAAGGGTATTAAGTCCAATTACATAAACAGGGTTACATACTCGATAATATATTTTTCAAAACTTTCATTAAAATTAAGTAACACAGATTTATTCAGATATAAAACGTGCAAATATAATTGCATTTTAAGTCTTAAATGTATTGAATTTTAAACCTTAAATTACTAAATGTATTTACTTATTTAATTAAACTTAGGCCTCGTTTTTTATTTAAAAGCTATAATTAGGGCAAATTGATACATATTTTATTATTTTTTTAATTACCTGAAATCAAACGTTTTTTAGTATTCTTAGAAAAGCTCATTATCCCATAAACTAAATAGGTAAGTTTCCCTTCGGTTTGTTCTGTGTTATTATTACTGATAAGATTTGATAAGATGTGACTGATAATAATCTCAAATCGATAATCACTATTCAGCTATAATATTACTGTAGGATTGAACTTCACAAGGCACCCATTAGTATTGTAATTATTTTTCTTAGAAAACAAATGACTAAATGTATAATATTCATCATACTTACACAGTAGACAGTAGTTTTTCTACAGTTCTTGCTATTAGTACTTTTCTATGTAAATCAATTGTATTAGTGTCGTGTAAAAATGATTGGATATCGACTCAAAAACAAAGGTTGGTTAATATTATTATACTGCATTTAGTACTACTAATTTTTACACTAGTTGATAGGATAACTCAATTTACCAGTAAGGTATAAACAAATCATTTTAATTCTTTTTAAATCAAAACTATCTGTCTATGGTAAACAAACTTGTATTTGTTTGTAATAAAATATACACAATTGAATTTATAAAAGAGTAAAAACTATTTTATATTAACACATTTGTGGTCAATTGAGCTTTATTTTTTTTATTTATACTTACATTTTGTTAAATTTTTTTGATAATAATTACAGATGGAAAACCTGCGTACGGAGTAGAAGATTCAAATTTTGAATTGACCTTTTATTTAACTTTTGTTTACAAGCCATAAACGTCACTGGATTTACAAGGTAATTAGGGCCTGATTACAAAGTATCGTAACTTAATGTATGTCTACATGAGAAATTTCAAACATCAATACTTGCGGGATTAACTGAAAGCAGAAAGAGTACTTGAGTATCACAGGTAGTCAAAGAAAATAATTATGCATTTATTTTACATAACCTTCTACGAGAAATCTGCAAATACAAAGCATCGGATTAAGATTTCTCTGAAGGAACAATATCAATAATAAAATATAATTACAAATTAATAAAATATTAATTTTCATTGATAGTGCTTAATGTCAATACGAGGAAGCAATCATCATATTAGTACCTCGCAAAATGAGTGCCAAGACATTGGCAAGCTGTGGAGCACGAGAAACAAAGAAACCAATTTCGGTGAACTGTTGGCTGTTCAAAAAGATTGTATAACTGCTCTGAACCTAATACAAAAATTAAGGTAAAGTGTTATCACTACAAAATTATTGTATTTGTTATTATTCATCTTTTTTTTTTTTAATTTTATGATAAGGTATTTTGTTGAATGAAACGATAAGTAATCTCTTATTCTTACTAGTCAACTGTTCGGCAAAGTAAACTAGAGAAGTTTATTGACAAATATTTAAATGGGTATTTTGAAAAAAAGTTGAAAGTAATAATACAGAAATGTTATTTAACTAATCTATATGAAAACTGATCAATTTCTTTATTTAATATATCATTTATTTTTTAGAAACGGCCAACATTACAGCTAGTTTACTGTCTGCAACAACGAACATTTTACAACTTCAAATTTGTTTTAAATTTTAAGTAGAGTGATAACGCTGATGACAATATCACAAAGAAGATTGTATCCAACTAAATAATTTTTCTTGAGAGGTAACACACAAGTATTTATTATTGTATAAATTGTATGCCCCTGATACTTTTTGAGTCTGTTTAATATTGTGGTCTTAATAAATTACAGTTAGAAGTATTGATATTTCTGGTAATCATTTTTTTTTAGAACCAAATACTTAATTATTTTATCAAACAATCTAAACTGTAATTATAATTGAAAAAACTAAATATTTTTTAACATAAGATTAAGCCAAAGGCCAATAAAATATTATAGATTTTTATTTTAGGATAAAACTGTTTCCTGTTCTGATGCATGGATGAAAAAGATAAACGATTATAAGCGCCCTTGACCTGCTCGGAGAACTTTTTTATACGTTTTTTTTACCAACATCTGTTAAAACATTATTTATGGAATCGTTAATGGTTAGTAATTGATCATATTTTATCATTTAATTTCGGATTATTATTTAAATAGCTTTATTTATACTTTCTTTACGATCCAGTCATATTGACTGTGGATTGGTTAATTTGACGTACGGTGCTGATTAATTTACTACCGTTCCAGTTTATACAGCGTTTGCTGGACAAAGAGCCATACGAGCTGGAAGTGAGCGACCTGGATACAAGTATGATAAACTATGTCTTTTATGACTTAGAAAACATTTATTACCAAATAGTGGTGTCACTGTAATTATTCAACTACAACAAATTATGCAAAGCGTAAAAGATACGTGTTTATTTGTTAAACACGATGAAATAGTTTAAAATGCCATTTAATTTGTGCAAAGGTGACTAATCCATAATGTTAACAAAATATAGTATTAAATTGATAATTTTTATATGTATCTCTGTCTTTTTGTATGTGCCGACATTGCAGAGTCTATCTTCATTGCTTTAAAGATGGACTCTACAATGGCTCCGTGATGTCATATAAAAAGACATGGATATGTCCTAAATTATAGAGTTCTCTTTCAATTGGTAAACATTTTAATACGATAATATAATATTAATATTTGGTTACTAGATACTTAATTTAATTCAAAGAAATTTGATTATGTAATATTGTCCACAAACACTATTTATAAACAATTTTTCATTTTTAGGAGACACAAGAATCATCCTTAAATGCAATGTGTGCATAAGTCTGTCGGTGCTGATGAAGATCTATTAGTTCACCCCCGATCAATTTTCACCTATGTTAATCGATCGCATTTGTACGCAGTGATAAAATATGATAATTATTGGGATATACGCCTGTATATCTTGGTGGAAGTTAGTATTTAAGTAGAAAATAAAACACAACAATAATATGTTTAACACAATACTATTAAATATAAAAACACACACACAGTATAGAGAATAATATATATATACAACGTACGTTTCAATTATAACAGCAGCCGTAATAGAATGGTAAATCCAACACCTTAATACTATGTCTTATATACTATACAATCTAGGTTACAGACGTAATTGGTCCTTGTATAAACAACTTAAATATTACTCATGATTTCATCAGTGTACACATATACTACCATATAAGGTTATATAATAATTATTACTTATCCATGACCCAAATAAACAATATTAATTATATTCAATAATAATTACCGACTGTTAATTTTCATTAATTTACATTACGACATTAACAATTTTGATGAATTGTTGTCTTTTTTAAACATTTAGACAAATCATGTTTTTAAAAAAATGTATAAAGTAAACTGGTTTAAGACCCAAACTCTTATTTAACAGAACCTTATTTCCATTGTCGCAATCTAATATGAATGTACAATTTATTTTAGGTACTTATTTGTGTGTTAAATATGTTATTGAATATACTGGTAAAAACCAACGTGGTATACCAAACTTGTTTTACGATCTGTGTTAAATTTTCTATTTTGCTTTAACAACTTTACCTATCAAGTAATATTAAATTTTTGTCGTGTCGTTTATGCTAACAAACAAAATTATTTTTTTACTGTTGAAGAATTATTGTACTTTTGCATTGTTACCATCGATTTAATAATGTATTTAGTTTATAACATGTGCCATTTAAAATTTAAAGGGGAATATATTCTAATAAAGCAAAACTAGTTTTAATGTAATAGTTGAATTTAATACAATTAAGTATTTAACTGATTTTTGAACAGTCCTTATTACTAGATACGGCTTTACACTATTTTTCCACCCCAACATTGTTTAGTCATGTACTTTGAATTATTTAATTCATCTCTGACATTAACTGTTAATAGCATTCAGTTTTGTAAAAAAAAAAATTGTATTTAAATTGCTCATTATCATAGATGTAATTATTGAAAGGTTATAAATAATCTTCTATATAAATAAAAATGTAATGCTGTTCGTAACCGATTTGTCTTTTTTTTTTTTTTTTTATGTTTGTAATAGTCCGAATAAGGCTTTTCCGTGAAAAATTGGAAAAGTTACCCGGAAACATGGAAAATTACAAATTTGAGTGAAAGTTTATTCCAATAAATGGATTACCTATATAGTAATTATATGATATTTTAAATAATTAGTAATTGTTGTAGTAGCGTTAATTAATTACTATAAAGTAATAATGTTTATGTACGACTATGACCGAGTCATTTTTTAGTAGGTATAGTATTGTTGTTTTTCATTTGACAATCTTGAGGCCAAATTGAGTCGAATACAAAAGCATAAGTCTTTTAGTTTAGGGCAATACAAAATATTAATTCAACATTTTCTATTAATTTTAACTTAAGGTGAAATAAAAATTGTAAAGTTATATATTAGGCGCAAATAGACTAAAGTTTCGAGGGTCTAAATCTTATAGTTATACTTAAATAGTATTTGTTGATCGTTAATTGTAACTTAACATTGTACTACCTTTTGTACTTGATACATTTAAGTAGACAACAGATATTCCAGAGAAAAATTACAAAAAAAATAATAAAAATGTACTTACTATAATATATTATTAAAAAATCGAACTGGTTGTTAAACAATTATTTTGAATTCATACACATTTTTAAAATTATGTAAAACTGAATTTGTATTTTATTTTAATTATAAATATATTGATATTAAATAAATTAAGCAATTAAGTAGCTACATATAAAAACTCTTATGGGGCCTCACGGTGATTATATAGGCAACTTTTTACTGAAACCATTTATGATAAAATCTGTAAACATAAATAGTCACACAGGAAAAAATGTCTATTTTGATATTTAATTTTTTTTTAAATTATTTTTCAATTTTTGTAATCCATAAAGGCTATTTTTTTAAATTTTTTTTTAAACTATTATCAAATATTGAAAAATAATATGCTACAATCGATAGAAAGGATAATAATTAATGGGAATTCAAAACTTTTTTCAGAATGGAAATTAGACTTAATAGGAACACAGGATAATGAAAATGCCAATATTCTATTTATATGAGGTATTTAAATATCTCATTTCAACCATGAAGTTATAAGTTGTACTCTTTGCAGGGCACCATTTTTATTTTGTATCAAATAACTGGTTTAAATTATCAAAATTGTAATTATATGTAATTACTATTAACTACGAATTAATTATATATTTATAGTTAAGCTGACTGCAGACTGAGTACAAAATACCCTATAGAAAACATTCAATTTTTTTTTTTAGTATTCGGCAAAGCTTTATTAACTTTTTAAGTATAAATAGTAGGTAACATGTGAATTAAGTTGATTTTTTTATTAAAGAATAATTTACTGAACATTTTGACTGGTCGATAACCAGTTTTAAATAATTAAAATGGGTACACAAGACTTAATAGGGTTTCTCTAATATCGCATAACTCTGAATTTTAAAGACACGATTTTAACTACCGTCGATTAAAAACTTGTGAAAAGACCTTCAAGATTGTTCAATATGTGATTTGAAAGTCTTTGTGAAGAGGGGCGATTTTTCTTAGCTACAATGGGAAGTATATGATTACAATATATTTTTATTTTTAATTACGGTACAATTTTAACTTTCCTATAGTGTACTTACAGTAAGCGAACACCGACAAATTTAATATTATCCTATCGTTGCGCCGAGCTGCATACATCGGACGCCGGATGGTTAAGTCGGTGAGCTATAGCCTATGAACATGGGGCCCTGGTACGATTTTGGTAGAATAGTCGTCGCATTCGAAACAAAGAAATTATTTTATGGGGTTTTTAAATAAATGTCGCTCGTTTTTAAGTTTTAAATGTGTTTTAATACTGTTATACTATGGTCTATATTACTATAGTTATGAACCTAATTGTTATAAAAAAAGTTCAAAAATCGTGTTAACTTCATTAATTTAAAAATTCTTTAAATCACTTGACACCAAATTAACTCAATACTTGTAATACTGCACATTAGAGTATGTTATTAGCACATTACATCAGATTAAATTTTAGTATAAACATGTACCTTTGTGCTACATTTCAGGTTTCTACCAATACGGCAAGTGCCTTATAATTTTGATGATGAGTGTGTAAGTACCTTACAAAAATGTAAACTTTGATATTCTCCCTCTTTGAAAAGGCTCAATTTGTGCAGTGTCCAAAGATACTTAAGTTAAATGTGTGTTTCAAATTTCAAATGTCCATATTAGGAGGAAACAGAGATATGAGGGTGAGAAACCCCAAATGAATTGGTTCATGTAGGTATTTATACACTGGTATTCTTGAAATTTACCTTGGCGCACTGTCAAGTTGATATTCCAACCATTCTCATGCGTTTAAACCGTCGCTTAAAAACTTTAATTTTACCAAAAGTTGCAAAGTATATGATTACAATATATTTTTATTTTAAATTACGGTATGTTTTAACTTTCCTACAGTAGGTGAAAACGAACAAATTTAAAATTATCCTATCATTGAGCCGAGCTGCGTACATCTGACGCCGAATGAACATGGGACCCTGGTACGATTTTGTTAGAATATTCATCGCACTCGAAACAAAGGAATTATTTTATAAGGAGTGACAACCGTGCATAGCGGTGGGATAGAAGTTTTCATAACGGTTCAAACAATTGGCGCGATTTTTAAATTCAAAATGTATTAATATTATTATTATTATTCTATAATATTATTGTAGTTATGAACCTACTTGTTATAAAAAAAAATAAAAAATCGCGTACAACGGTTAGCCGTTTGAAGTATAGGTATTATTTATTTAAATTACTTGACGCCGAATTAATTCATTAGAGTCGTATTGGTAGTGATAATGGAATAGGATAATATCATCGTGACCTCTTTCTAACGCTATTCGTGCAATATGTGTATATTTTTTAACTGTAAACGTTTCCCAGAAAAAATTTAAATCGTTAATTGTTTGTTGTACCTAAATCAAAAGTCGATAAAAATGTTTTATAATATTCCGAGAGCTTACCGACAACTTCATGCCTTCTCACCTAAAGTCTAAATAAAACTAATTTTCGGTTTCTGGTTTTCTCGGTTTTAAATCCCAGCGTGTTTTCTGCGAAACCATACCAGCGTCCATCGTTGTCACGGTTATCCAGGTAACTGTGGTCGTGGTCATGCTCGACGCATCGTAGGTCCTATCCGAGGGTCTCGAAAATGGTACCAGGGTCTCATGGCCGAATAACACCGTCCGGCGCGGCGTCCAGTATCATAGTTGCCGCCGCCTGGTCTTCGTTGAATCGACGAAAGGACGCCGCACGGTTTACACATTTCTTATACCATCGCGTCGTAGCTCTATTATGCTGACAAACAGGAAGCGGGCCATACTTCTAATATACACCTTTAATACCAGTTTATTCTATTTGTTTAGTCCGTTGACGTTCTAATTTAATAAAAAAATATTATTGAGATCTGGAGCTGGATGGGTGTTTTCACAATTAACAAATTCAAAGAAACTTCTTTTGATTTCTGACATAAGAAAGGGTTTCCCGGGCGTTTAACACACCTAGTCAATAAGTCGTATACTTTTGTTGTATGTAAGCCTTTTTGGTAATTAGTACACTCGAGAATACATTTGGAGGGTTTCCTTGGTTCAACTATTACTAAGCAACGTAACAGTTTATTAAAATAGAAGAGGTAGAGATGCTAAAACTGAAAGAGTAAAGCAGAACTCTTTGTCTCGGAAAATAATAATTTCCGAGTCATCCCAACTAGTTACACTTGGCTTATTATTTTTAACTATGTACAAAATTGGAATAGATATGTCTGCTATATCTTTGCCTTCGAGATTCAATGTACGAGTAGCGC